CTCCTCTAGGAACACATGTCTGAGAAACCAGAAGCCTCAGGCCTGGGCTGGGCGGCATGCTGCATGTCCCCTCGCCCTTCTCTAGAGCAGCAGAGGTAGTATCAATTTTGTCTCTTATCTGAAAAAAAAAAAAAAAAAAGCCCCATGATGGACTCAGATTTCAGAAGGGTATTTGGGATCTGAGAGCTGCCACAGCTCTGTTCAGACACAAAGGGGCCCACTTTCTCCTGTGGCCTTGGCTCCTGCCAGGAGCCAGCCAAGAGGAGGGTTGTCCCTGCCCTGTCTCTTACCCAGCTAGGGAAGGTGGGGCAGACAGGCCAGAGCTGAACAGCTACAGCATGGCACACATCTCAGTTCATCCTCCATCCTTCTATCCAATCAGGGTTGATGTTAGACTCTCAAGGCTGGGAGAGCACTGTGAGCTGTCTAGAGTGTAGCAGCCACCAAGGCCACTGAGGCCCTAGTCACATGTTCTAATCATGTTGAAGTATCATCCCCCAGTAGTTCCTCCTCAGGAGCACATGGCCTGCTGCTATAGAGAAAACATACCTGCCAGGGCAATGCAGAGATTTTGGGGGAGTGGAAAGAATGGGAGCCAGGAGGGGGCATTCACACATCTTAGCCAGAAATGAAACAGGGACATTGTGAAGAGGTTACCCAGAGAGGGTGAAATTCCACACCCTGGATTCTTATTGGCAGAGTGGGCAAGGTGCCTGAGACATCAGTGGAGCCGCCTCTCCTTGGAGTGCCCTGTGGAATGCTAGGAGACTCCAGAAGAGATCTTGAGATCAAGTAGGGATGAGAAAGGCTCGGTTGGGCCAACCAAAGTTGGCATCTATCAGACAGGACTTGTCAGAGCTTTGAAGTATTTGTTCTCTTGTGAAATTAACAAAAGGGGCTCAGGTGCCCAGTATGAGACAGTTCATCGCATGCTTCTACTTGTGACATCAGATTTAGAGAGTGCTAAAGACTAGTGTTCCCCAGAGCTCATTCTGGAGACATGTATGTAGACCAAACCTCAGACCACAAGCAGGGACACTCAAGCCAGAGATAGGCTGCCATTTTCCCAGCATCCTACCAGAAGCAGAGGGCAGCCCTGAGATGAGGACCCAGGGCTCCTGGAAACTGGCTGTTGCAGGTATATGGGTTGGGTCTTGGGTGCCACTAGCATGTGAAGAAATGGGTCCCATATGGGCTGAAGCAATTCTGGAGGAGGAAAAAGTCCTGCTGAAGATCCAGTGAATATGGGTCAATGCCCAGAAGAAATCAAGTTGCACCCTGGAACCTCATCAGCTCCCTGTCTACCCAGAGGGGACCTCAGGGTTCCCCTTAGATTAGTCCCTGTAGACTTGCAAAGGTTGATCATACTTTCAGTGTATCCTCAGAACCCCTCTTTCCAAGAAGTCTCCCGATTGGCATCACATTGTTCTTCAGTGACTTTGGCCTTTACCCCACTCTTCCCTTACCCCCCTAGGATCCCTTGTAGCTGTTGCAGAGCACAAAGGGTTAAATCTCATGCACAGGCCGTCAGTACCTTCCATGCAGCCTCTGGTCTGCCAGTCTCCCAGATTTAGCAATGCCACCTCTGCCCCAGTGCTCCTGTGTCCGGGAAAAGGAAGCTCCCTTAGAAGCAAGGTTCCCAGCCCTGCCCTGTTTTCTCTTTCTGGTGACTTGTGACATTGGTTCCCCTATATTCTGGCTGATCCCACAGGGACCCTACTTCTCTGCAGCATCACTGCTGCCCTGAGGCCTGGACCCCATGGGCTGGGGTCAAGGACTGCACCTGTTCTCCAAGGCTGCTCTCCTCCTCTCCCCCCGCCAGCTGGCTGAGTGTAAGGGGATCTGGTTGATAATAGGGGTTCACCTGCAGTTCAAAGGGGCATAAAGTATAAGCTGACTGACATCTGTGACAAGCTCTGGCTCCATTCCTGCTTCCCCATCCTGGGACTTAACTCCATCCTCAGGTCATCCCTTGGGTGATTCCAGAATCTTCCATACTAGAAGGTGGGAGAGTGGGTCCCAACAGAAAGCTCCCCTCCCAGCCTTTGTCATTATTCATAAAGAGAAAAATGTGGCTACAGGTTCGTAGCCATGGTCAGCAAGGATAAAACCTTAGCTGAGATGACACCCAAGAACTTCCATCCTGGACTGAGGGACGGGGTCTCCTTTCCTCCATAATGAAAAATTCACCAGCCAAGGCAGATAACTCATCAATCTTTCATCCCAGTCCTTGCTGGGAGTGGGGGATGGGGCACACAGTAAACCAGAGCTGGCTGCCTACAGCCTGGAGACAACATTCCTATCCCCATGAGCGCAGGACCTCGGGTTGCAGTAAAGCCTTGGTAGTAAAGCCAGAAAGGGCAGTGGGTGGGATAAGTGGCCAGTTTGATCCTTTCTGCTTGGAGAGGATCAGAAAAGGAATATACGGGTAGAATATTACTCAACCATAAAAAAGTATGAGATTTCCATCATTGATGGTAAAATGGATGCAACAGGAGAACATTAGGTTGAGTGAAAAATCACACACAGAGAAACAAACGCTGTTCGTTCTGAGCTTTGAAAAGTTAATCCAGCAGAATAGAATAAGATATTAGTTACCAGACGCTGAGGAGGATGGGGGAGGGATACAGGATCTTGACGGGCACAGTGTACCTGTGGGTAAGAGCATCTCCCAATGGCTACTGAGAAAGCTGACTGGCTAGCAACACATAGTAAATATCTTTATATAACTAGCAGAGGGAATGGTGAGAGTTCTTAACACAGAAGTGATGAATACCTAAGCTGATGGGTATGGCAGTGACCCCACCAGACCAACGCACGTTATATTCCAGTACTGAATTACCACAGCGCACCCATGAATCTCTACAGCCTGTGTGTAGAGAGCCAGCATCAGGAAGCATCACAATGATCTTGTGGTTAGCACTTCTGTGGGTGGATCTCAGCTGGGTACCACAGATGAGGACTCCCCCACCCCACCCCGCCCCATTCAGGACAGGCTTGGCACTACCAGCCGCCTGCTGACCATGGCTGTGTCTGTGTTGTCCCAGGGCTAACCTGCCCTGTCTGCACATTCTCCACGGCTTCGCTGGGACTCCCCCCTCTGTATTATGAGATCGGCAGTATTTACCTGAGAATCAAGAGAGGCTAGGGCTCAGCCTAGCGGTTGAGCACAGCCTTGCTGGGGCAATGGCTTTGGAACAAAAAAAGTTAGCCCACAGTGGGCTGAAGCCAGGAGGGAGGGACAGCCTGCAGGCAAACAAATCCTTGGTTCTGGCACTTTCTGACCACTTCAGTCTTTACCCTTGGGCTCAGTTTCCCCAGCTGTGAAATTCAAGGCTTGGGAAACACTTGGCTTTTCTCTGGTGTTAGGTCCTGGAGGCCTGGCAAGTGGTTTCTGGTAGTCTTTTGCTCAGAAGAGATCTAAGGAGGACATATGGACTGCCTGCTCTAGCCCATGACTGCCCTACCCATCAGAGGCCTTACAAACCCATGACTCTGAACCTAGTTCTCTGTGAACCCAGGCCAGGTTACTTTTCCAGGAAAGGGATGGCTGGCTCAGGTCTGAGAGGAACAAGAAGGGGTGCCATGCAAGGAACAGGCAGTGAGATAGCAGGGAAGATTGCAGGGCAGGACTTTGGGGGGTGGGGTGGGGATGAAGAACGGAGCCAATGATGTAGGCTGAGGCCACCAAGCAGAGACAAGAGTTCCACCGTGGCCAGTGCTGATCCATAGTCATAGAGTAGAACCCAGCTTCAGGGACCAGAGGATTTGGTTACCCCTGACTTGCCTTGCCATCTGAAGGGTGTGGAGAGAGTGGGCTCTGTGGAAAGCAGGAAATAAAGATGCAGGAATACAGATGCACAAGGCTAGATGTCTGGTATTTGCCCATCAGGATCTGCTCCTTGCCCTCTCTTAGCCCTGCCATATGCCTGAAAGTGTCCTGGCTAAGCTGTTTCACAGACTCCGTCCCTGTTGTCTTCCTGTGAGGTCTGGCCAATGGAAAGCTCTAGAAAGACTAGAGTAAGGGTATGGGTGGAGAGACTCTAAATTCCACAGTCTGCTCCTTCTCTTGGGATCACCTGGGACCTGACACTGGTGTGACAGCAGACGTATGCCCTCACCACGTGCCCTGGACCTCGCTATGGAACCCTCCTCCCACCCCATCCCATCCAGGGCCACCAGGAAGGGAATCCCCAACCTGTGCTGCGTGCCAAGCTGCCCCCTGCCTACACCTGTGCCAGTAGCTCCTCTACTCAGCCCTCTCTGGATGACATGATGACCCCAGTACCCCAATTGGCTCAGTTCCTCAGCCCCCAGAATAGGCTATCTACATCATATCACCGGTCCTTCTCACACTTCACCTCCCAAACTGAAACCTGAGTTGCCAGATCTAGCTAGATCTACGCCCCAGAAAAGGAGGGAACCACCTCCCTCGAACTTCCAACTGTGCACAGTGGCACGTGCCATCCCACACACAGGCATCATGGCCCTGGTTCGTTATTTTCTCAACTCGACACAAGCTAGAGTCACCTGGGAAAAGGAACCTCCAGTGGAGAAAATGCCTCCGTCAGATTTGTGTTTTATTGATTAATGATTGATATGGGTGGGCCCAGCCCACTGGGGGTGGTGCCACCCCAGGCAGGCGGGCCGGGACTGCATACAGGCTAACCAAGCCGTGAGGAACAAGCCAGTTATCGGCACCTCTCCATGGCCTCTGCCTCACTTCCTGCCTCCAGATTTGTACCTCGAGTTTCTGCCCTGACTTCCATCAGTGATAACACTGTGAGAGAAATAAAGTTGGTGAGAGTTGTGAGCTGAAATAAACCCTCTCCTGCCCAAGGTGCTTTTGGTCATGATGTGTTATACAATAACAGAAACTCTAGCTAAGACAAAAATAGATAATGTTAACTTTTTTCCATTTAAATTTAAAAATTAAAACCTGAACGAACCCCTGGCTGCCAGGCTCCCTGATTCGCCTTTCTGGTTTTGTCTTCCTGCAGGGTTCACCAACCTCAGAGTGTGGACTAGCAGCAGGCAAGGAGACAGGTGAGTGTGAGTGGCTTGCACCTGTGTGCGCATGCCAGCGCTGATGATGGCATCGATGGTGAACTGCAAACCCCTGTGTGTGTAGCCTGGGACCTGGATACCCCGATCCTTTCCCCAGACCCTGTGTAGAGTGAGGTAATCTGAGAAGGGGGTGTGAATTCTCCAGTTTGGGCTGGTTTTCTGATTCTCCGAGCTTTGCCTGGAGTTCTAGGGGCCCTGGGAAGTGCCTCTCAAAGAACAGTGTGCTTGTGTGGGCATGTGGCCATCTGATCAGCCATTCAGAGCATTAGTATCTTTTCACTACATCAGACTCATCTCATTGTTATCACACTGAAGTCAGCACATCGATGGGATGTTATAAGGCAAGGATGGGAGGAACGGGGTTCGGGAACTTGAGAAAGCAAAGCACTGTGCATGGAGCATGCTCAACAAGGACTTAGGAGCCTGTTGAGGAAAGTCCCTGAAAGCCCTGGCTGCTCTGGGCTGGCCCTTTTTTTTTTTTTTTTGCCTCTGTCCTATGCAAGATGAGAGCTCTGTGGGCTAGCCTGGGCCATTTATCCTCTCAAAAGGCATCTATCTGAGGCTCCAAGGTACCTGTTTACGAAGGTTTAGAGACACAGTGCCTATGCCTGGGGGCCGCCTTGGGGATGCAACTGCTTCTCCTTGGCCTGGCCTGGTAGGTGTGTGTGTGTGTGTGTGTGTGTGGAGCTGGTTCTCCTACCAGAGGGAAGGGATGGTAGTTGGAGGGTATTCGATTAGGAGGACAGCCTTCTCCTGCTGCCTGGCTGACTTGTGGGCCCTAAATCAGTCCCCTGGGGGCACAGACTGTGGAGAATGGGGAAGAAGCCTAGAAACTTCCATCTAATCATCCATGGCTCTTAGACATGGCAGAATGGGCAAGAATGGCCTCTATGGGCCACAATCCATGTAAACGACATATGCAAGGCTTGTGTTTCTTTTCAAATGCTGTCTGCACTGGTCTATGAAGTGGACCATTTGCTGTAGAAATGGTCTGACTAAATCAGCACCAGCAGGGGCTAGGATCTTGCTAGCTGGGCTCTGTAGCCTGGCAGGTGAGAGTGGAGCTGGACTCTGTAGCTCTGGCAGGTGAGATTTGGTGGTTGCCTGAACAGGTCTTGTTTGCTCTCTGGACACTGACAGGACCTGGTTTGGCACTCAGGCTTAGGCTTAGGATAAGGCATACATCTAAGTAAGGGGCCCCTGACTTGGTGTCTTCTTCTCGTGAGAGGGTGAAACCTGAGGACAAGGCAGGAGGAGACAGATGAACAGCCCCAAGGCCAGGCCACAGACTGGATCCCAGGCCCACACATCATCATCCTGAGATGTGTGGGAGATAGAAAGTGCCTCCCAACTTCACCCCCTTCTCTCCAGGAGTATGCTGGGGGTTGTTTCCCTCCCGCCTTGTCCATGTGACATGTCCAATCAGTGCACGTGCCTCTAGATGTCACTCAGTTGTCCTCATGGCAGGGAGGTCCTGAGTGTTTGTAACCCAGGAAAGAAAATGGCAAGTGGGCATGTGGTCCATCCCAAATCCTCACCAGGGGCCTCAGTCTCCACAGATATCGGCAGCCCCCGTCCTCCAGCCTGGCATACCAGAGCCTTGTCATGCTTGTGAGTAAGAAGGCAGAGCTGGCTCCATGATGGTCTGAGAGCCTTCTATGGATTCTGCCCCCAGGGCATTGTATGAGTCTTTCCAGCCATGCAGAGCCAAATAACAGACACTCAGGCTTCTCCCCTTCCATCTACGAAGGCGCCCCACTCCTCAGTACCAGAAAAACACCCAGGCCACCCCTTTCCTTCTGTCCTATCACCTCTTGTCCTTTCCTGTCCCCTTCTTGGGGTTCTTATTTAAAAGTCACCTTCATTTCAGCCAGTTATTGGGAGCCATTTTCTTGTGCTGACAATGAGTGTGGATGACCCAGGTTTCTCTTCCTTTCCCCTTTTATCTTTGGAAAATGTTTAAAACCGACCCCAGGAAACAGTTACACCCTCGCCCTGCAAAACACCATAATGACTAGAAAGCGTTAGCACTTCCTCTTTCATAATGTCAGCAATCCCTAACTAGTAATCCCACTTCCAGGAAGCCCGCCCTGAGGAAGCTGCCTGAGACGTGTACAAAAATGCATTCGGGAGGATGTTTATCAGGGGGTGTTTATATTAGTTAAAAATAGAAACAAGTGCATGCCCAAGTGGGGCAGATTGCAGCCTTGACAGAGCACCTGCAGATGCAGAAGGTTCTGAAAGGCAGCCATTGACAACTGCTTGAGAAGAACCTTTAATAATGTGGGGAACACCTTCATATTTCTGAGTTAAGGGAAAAGGCAGTTTGCCAAAATGATGTTTCTGTAAATATATGGGAAAGAACACAAGAGGTTAGGCAGAAGAGCCAAAGAAGAGGGATAGAGGGGAAGGCAGAGAGAGGAAGGGAGGAAGGGAGGAAGGGAGGAAAGGGAACTGAAGAAACCCATGTACAGATTTGCAAGGGGAATAGGGGGTTCGTTAATTTTGTTTTTGTTGTTCTTTCTGGGTAATTCCTCAGTTTCACATGGTGATTTGTCCAGAATGTGCATATTCACAGAACAGTTAGAGTTTAGCCAGGTGTCTATCCCACCTATATGAGCCAGTGGACATTTTACAATTTGTCGTATGAAGTAAATGGTTAGTCTGATACTTTGCCTTCTGAAGTGTTTCTTTTCTCAAAACCTTTTTTTTTAAATGCATTTATTTTATTTCATGTATATGAGTATTTTGCCTGCATATATATGTACCATGTGTGTGGAATTCCTGCAAAACCAGAAGAGGACATCAGATACCCTGAAATGGGAGTTACAGACAGTTGTAAGCTGCTTTATGGGTGCTGGGAAAAGAGCTAGGGTCTTCTGGAAGAGCTGCCAGAGCTCCTAACCACTCATCTATCATCCCTCAAGCCGCGCACACCGAAGCCAGTACATTCCTGTGGTCTCCATGCCACTACTGGAGCTGTGACTCTGAGGGCACTGGCTTGGGGAGTGAGAGTATGTTGGGCTATGCCAGGGAAGGTGCAGCTTAAGCAGAAGGACTTTATTTTCCTGTAATTCCAGAGGCTGGGAGTCAGAGTCCAAGTCCAAGGCATGGCAAGTTTAGTTCCTTCTCTGGACCCTGGACTGCTGCCCTTCCCAGGGTCTTTCTTGATGATGTTGGTGTCTGGCTTTCTTCTTATAAGGACCTCTAGTATGGGCTCAGGGTCCACACTCACCACCTTGTTTTAATTCATATCCCTCTGTCTCTAAATGGGATGATTTACAATGGGGTTCCTCCGTCCTGAATGACTCACCTGACGGAAACACCAATACTGAGAAATCACCAGTGCACCCACTCACTGAGCACCGTAGTTTGCAGCACAGCATACATGCTACAGAGGGTCACGGTTCCCCCACTGATCATGTGACTGAGTGCCCTGCCCAGCATGACCGGAGACTTGCCATCCTGGGATAGCTGAGGAACAGAGCAAAGTTCAAAGCCAGAAGCACAGTAAAGAGAAAAACCTAATTTAATTTCATCTTAGGTGAGAGATCTCCCGCATGTAGGACGGTTCTGGGGAGAGGAGACTTGGGTTTGCTTCAGCAAATAAACCAAGGGAAGCATTCCATCCGTAGCAGAGGTGCCCTGTCGAGGTGATTGTGTCCACTTATTTGGCAAAGCCACCCTGAGTTTGGAGCAAGGGCAGGAAGGGAGGTGAGTGTGGATAGAGAGGCCGTTCATTGTCCACTCTGAGAAACTCTTGTGAGATATGACGTGGACCCCCAGCTAATCTAGCACCTGGCTGACCTCGACCTACCTAGCAAGACCAGAGGCAGCAACATGACCAACTATCCCCAACTAGGCCTGTCACCAGAGACGGGTATCTGAGAGCAGCAGTGAATCCACTCACTGTGTACAAATTCATTCTCTTCCGAAATTCCGAAGCACTCTGAGGTAAGAAACACTGATATGAAAGACGTTAAACACTTCCAGTGGCATCTGAGTGTTAAAAACCAGACCTTAAAAGTATTTTTTTCCCCTCCGTGCCAACTCAAAAGTGATTATAAAACCAATGGTAGAAAGAAAGAATGGACCAGTTGTATTAATCATTCTCTGTTGCTCTAATATCTAAGGCTGTATACTTTCTGAAGAAAACATGCTCACCCCTCCTGTTAATAGCGACCTTTCGATCCTGCCCTTGGGGTGGCGTAGTTGACTGATTCCACCTTGAACCCCTCGGTGGCTTTTCCAGCACGACCTGCGTGGTGCAATGCCACGGCCTCAGTGTGTCACCTACTCACAAGGCCTTCTCTGCTTTAGCACAGACTGCTAGAAACCGCCTTCCCAGGTTCCTTCCGCGTCTCTGTGAATAAATCTTTATTAGAAAGTGGTTAGGAAGTAAAGTGTTATTCTTACTGTGTTTGTGAGTAACAGGTTATGAGTCACCTTTGCTAGCTCATCTAGGAAAGGCATTGATCTAACCTTGACACTCAGGGCTGTGTAGAAAGCACGGGCCCTCAGGGAGGTCCCTGACCTCAGGGAGCAGGCTTTTTGTTGTTGTTACATGATTATGTTTTATTGCTTATAGAACAAAAATGTCATAAATCAAAGGGTTTACAGAATACTTTGGTGGGGGCCAGAGGTGTGTCACAGCAAATCAGGGCAATGTCTGCTACAGGTTTCTGGTGTTATCTGATCATAGTTTTTTTATATTGGTAGAAGCTAATGGTCAGCTAGGAATACATTGTAAGATTTTGGTAGTCACTAGGTTGTTAGGTCAGACAGAGGTGTGGCCAACGAAAGGCTTTCAAAGGAAACTAAAAGTAGCCTGAGATAATTTGGCTCTGGTATGAAACATTTTTAAAATTATTTACTTACTTTACAGTCAACTGCAGTGTGTCCTACACACACACACACACACACACACACACACACACACACACATACACACACACACACTTCCCCTCCATCCACTTTTC